GCCCCAGCTTCTGGGGGAAATTAACCCCCAGCCCCTCTCCCCAAGCTCCCACCAGCAGGCAAAGGCAGGGGAGCACGTATCCCTCCGAAGTGTCCCCATCCCTGTCCCCGCTGGCCGCCCGCCCCAGCCCCGCACTGTGAAGGGGACCATCGGTGCCCAGCCCACGTCCACCCCTCTAACAACCCCTTTAACAACAACAACAACAGCAACAGGAGCCCCAAACTGAGCAACAACAGCAGCCACCCTCCCTTCTTTAGAGGGATTCATCCCCCAGTTGTGGATTATAAAAATCAATGTTGTGTCCTGGTGTCCCCCAAACCTGCAGGCCACCCCTTTGCTCCCTGGGGAGGGAGGCTGGGGCTGTTCCAGTCTTTTGGAGGGGGAGGGAGATGCTCTGCATCCCTCTGACCATGCCACCACAAACCAAGGCTTCTGCTGCCTCCTGTGTGGAGCGGTACCCAGGGTCCCTTCAGGTCTGCCCAGGGTGAGGGTACAGGAGAGGGCCCCTGGGTGCCATCTCACTTGCTCTACCACCCCTGCCCACACACATGGAATCCTCATGGAGCTGCTGCTGGGCTCCCTGTTGGTCCCCAAAGTTCTGGTGGGTTGATGGTGAACCCCTTGGTTCTCCTGCGAGCAGCAAGTGCCACAGTCCCAGAAGCACCTACCACTGACCCCACAACATCTTATTTTTCCTGCTTTTGTGCCAGCACCCATCACAGCCCCGTGGCCCAGCTTTCCTCACTGATGTGTGGGCTCTACCAGTGGTTCTGTCAAACTGCGTGGCAGCCCCAAGGCTTCCCCCAGGCTGTAGGGCCATGCATGGGGCTGTGGGACCACACTGGCCTGGTCCATCCCCATGGGGCCTGGACTGAGGAGGGGCAGCAGCGGGTGCACTCAGGCCCAGGCCAAGCTGTTTGAGAATCTTAGCTATTATTTGTCTCCTTTTTTTTTTTTTGAAATCTGGACTTGCTGCCAGCTGTTTGCTCTGTATAAAGCCGGGGAAGGGTTCAGACTGCACAAGAGACGTTCCTCGATGGCCATTTTAAGCTCCCTGAGTCTTCTTGCACTGATGTATTTTGGTTGATGAATCCCAAAATACAGGATGTTTTCCTCAGAAAACTTAGGCGAATTTTTGTGCAGCTTTTAACTGGGTCTTAATTACTTATCACCCTTAACAGCCAACAATTCTGCTCACCCTTAATATAAGAGTTTTTTTTTAAAAATTCCATTTTTAGAGTGTTAAAGCTTCATTCTTGTAGCTTCTTTGCACCTATGATCTTTCCCAAGAAATTTGGTATCGAAGTGATCATTGACAGAGAAATAAATCATTAATAACTTCAGTGAAATCAGAGATTATCCTAGAGGAAAACCAGTGTAAATGGAAAGAGACTCAGGCAGGCTTTTCATCTGAAGCTTTGTTTGTTTCTTTTATATACCCCACCCTCCTTCATGAAGATATTAAACTATTTTATTTAAAGGAATTGTTGCACATCCCTCACTGTCTACCCTTGTGGTATTGCAATATCTATCTTTAAAATCAACTTAGAAATTTCAGTTCAGAATTACTGGCTAGCTGGCAATGACACCTTTACAGTGACAAGGAGAACGGGTCTTATTCCTTGGAATTTCCTTCAAAAAAAACAAAGCCCTGGCACCAACAAGAAAAATTAAGCTCCTGGTTTTCCACCCATTTTTGTTTGTCAGCAAAATTCAGGGAGTCACACAACTGGACCCTGGTGTCTGCTTCGATGTGCCCTTAGTCTGGCAATAGTCTATAAGCAGTTCTACTGCAGGAAAAAAATGTGCCCTTAGTCTATAAGCAGTTCTACTGCAGGAAAAAAAATATTTTGTGCATATGGAGAGGCAGAAAATGCTTGCTTTCCAGAATAACTGAGTCTACCTGCATTGATTTTGCAGTTTTCATATCCATCTGCTTGTGGATTAATGCTAATCATTGGCTTGAATATGGTCAATAAAGCCTTCCATCATACACACAAAAATAACGTAGGCAGCATGATTCGTAAGACATTGTTATTTGTGTTTTGAGCGTATATTTGCTGTTAGCTTAAACTTTAAAGCAGAGCTTCCTACAGGATTCCTTATATCCTCAGAAGGGCAATACATAGTGTCTGATTATAGATTTATAGAGAAGCTCTTAGATTTCTCTTCTAGGTCTTTTGCTTCTCCTTGAACAGCCCAACATTTTCCCATACCAAAACGCCCAGGTAGGAATGATTATTCCTTCCTGGCCTGTGACCCGCATCCCATTTCAACCACTTCCTTTTGATCCCGAGTGGGGAAAATCCCACCCGAGGTGTTTCTGTCCAGGCAGGGAGGTGGGACGGGAGCAGCCACTAGGGGAGCTCGATGTTGGGAGTAACCTCCCAGCATCTTCCTCACAGTGCACACAGCTTTCTGCAGTGCCCAGGAGCTGGAGCTTGAAAGCAGGTCTGAAGTTTTAAAAAAGCTGCAACAAACCAAATGGGCACGTTTTGGAGCTTTATTGGTTTTTTTTGTTTTGTTTTGTTTTTTTTTTTTTATAACTAGGTATTTGGAAGTTATTTTCTTGTCCCTCGGCA